AAGGTACAGAAAAAGGAAAATGTGCTTCCTGAGTTCAGCTCAAGGAATTTTGATTAACCTGCTACGTTAGAAGGTTCTGTCCTTCTGGCTTTCTGTCCAAATGCATGGACACTGAGCAAGTTCTGTGTCCTCACTGTAAACATTTCTGCAGTGACGTGCAAGAAAGATCACGCATCTCTAAGGGATAAAGTTAGATTATATTTGTCTCTAAGTTAAATGTCTCAAGGACAAAGGAAGTGAATGTTTCAGAAAGGGAGACAGGAAAGCAGTGTTTAATGGCAATTCCCAAGGACTGGGAGCAAAGTAATCTGGTTTAGATCAGCAAGTTTCAACTGGTGGGCTGCAAGAGGCACACTGGTGAGCCGCAAGAATTTTTAAAGCATGCAATACCTATTTAGTCAGGGGCACTGACCTCTCTCCCCTTAGATTGTCAAATAAAACAATGACAACAGCCAGCACAACAAGAGCTGTCTGGTGTGAATGAATCAAAATCACATCTATTTTTTGTTTTTTTGTCAGACTGGCAAAAAATATGGTGTGTTGTAGAATTTTAGTAATTTAGTTTATGTGTACCATGAGATGAAAAAGGTTGAATATTGCTGGTCTAGATTCTGCTATACCAACGAGGTAGGGACTCACTAAGACAGTCACATATTTTTTTCTTTGCTGCAGGTTCCTCCACTATAGATTATCTCCAAGATCTAAGTTTCCTTCTCTGCTAAAATAAGCCTATGGTTTTATTAGTCACGCATTTATTTAATATTCATTCATCATGCAGTGGATCTAGATAAAGGCGTTTTGGGGCTCTCAACTGACCCCCTAGCTTAATGGTTACTGAGTGCTTCTGGATTGTTTTTTTATTACCTTTGATTTTAGTGATTTATAAAACTTAAATTATTGTTGGTTACTCTGACATAACACGTTGAGAAACCTGGTAGAAATGTTTTCTTTAACAGTGTGAGTTAAAAGAAGTCGCCCAGAACAATGGACAGAAGACTGTCACATATTATGTTTCTGAAATCTAAAGTATATTTTTGCTAATGTTTCACAGCTCAGAGGGCATGAGCCTTTTGACTGAATTTATCTGACCGTGTTCGGGACCAGCTGGCTTGAAATAAGTTTCCTTTAATTTCAAAGGTGGCAAACATTGTGCTGTCTGCCATCAGAAGATAAGCCCTCACTGATCTCAGAAGTGATATTGCTAGAGCACTGGGAACATTTCAAGATTGACTTCTACAATCAAGGTGCAAAGTAGTTATAATAAAACTCATCCTAGTATTTCACCGGGAATCATCTGACCTGGTTGAGCAGGGAAGGGAGAATTAGTGGGGCAAAAAGTATATACCATAACACAGAGTTGTTTTGGTTTTCACAGATCTAAATTTCTTCTGACATGGTAATTTCTGATATTTTGTAAAAAACATATAGTGATGAAAGTTGTCTTTCAGTTCACTGATAGATCCTTAGGGTACAGCAGATTATGACAAGAGAGCAGACTTAGAGCTATTCTCGGAGGTAAGGGATCACGCTGAAATGTCCCTCCGTGTCTGCTGTACTCATGCCTCCAGACAAGCTTAACACAAATGTGTTACACAGGGTGTCACACAAATTTATCCATGATCAAGAAGTTATGGGTAGAAATTGCAAGCAGAAAAGAAAAGGATCTTCCAAGGTATATATCTAAGACTTCTAATAATGTTTTCTCTTATATACATGGCACATGTGTATGCATAAAAAAAGTCTACATTAGAAAACATTGTTAAATAATTCTCAAAGGAAGATAATTTAATGTTTGTCTTTTATATACACTAGAGGCTTGATGCATGAAATTCGTGCGGGGGGGGGGGGGTGCTCAGCCTGGCCTGCACCCTCTCGCAATCTGGGAATTCTCGTTGGATGTCCTACTGCCGGTTTAGGCAGTCGGACATCCCTTAAACCGGCAGTCGGACATCCCTTTCGCAATCCGGGATCGCTGGCTCCTAACCACTCGCCTGCCTGTCTGCCTCATAGCCCCTAACCACTCTGCTTGCCTGCCTGATGCCAAATGCTCCTCTGCCTGCCTGATGCCCCTAACCACTCTGCCTGCCTGATGCCCCTAATTGCTCCCTGGCCTGCCTGATGCCAAATGCTCCTCTGCCTGCCTGATGCCCCTAACCACTCTGCCTGCCTGCCTGATCATCCCTAACCACCTCTGCCTGCCTGCCTGATCACTTCTAACTGCCTCTGCCTGCCTGCCTGATGCCCCTAACCACTCCCCTGCCTGCCTGATTGCCCCTAACTGCTCCTCTGCCTGTCTGATCGCCCCTAACTGCCTCTGCCTCGGCCCCCGCCACCACAGCTTAGTCTGGAAGGACGTCCGGGATGTTGTTTGGCTGTCCGGTCTAATTTGCATATCATGCTTTTATTAGTATAAATTAGCAAAGAATTAGTAGAGGGTTAAGTATAATTTTCCTTCAATATTAAACTGATTTGGGAACCGGAGAGTCTGATCATTATAGTAGCAAATGAAGCCAGAAAATATTAGCTATCAGTTATACAATAGGACTGTTTGTACTCAAAAAATATCTCAGATGCCTTGTCCTCAAACCCATGGTCAAATGCTATGGCCTTCTGTCCAAAAGCTCATTTTCCCCGCACAGTCCAATTCTCCCATGGCTGGGCACTTGCACTCCTGCTGCCCCAGGGTGACTTGATTTCTGAGTCAGCCTCGATCTAAGCACAGCTTGGTCCTAACTCAATTTTCTCCCTTTTTGGCATCAACATTCTCTACAACCCTGTCATTTTGGGAGTCTATAGTTCATTATGTTTTTCTTTTTGTCCACCAATATAATTGTCAGTAAATAGGAACCTCTCTGAGGCTCAGTTTCCTCAGCTGTAAAATGGGACTCCAGCCTCAGCATTATACAACCGCATGTGCACTACAAGAAACACACCATGCAAAAAGCATTTCATTGCATCTAAATAACTGTCTTCTTGTTTTTTAAGGTTTATGCCTGGCCTTCTTTCAGTCTTCCACAAGCACAGTCACATCCCATGTCCCAGTCAGTGTGTGTTCTAAGGTACAAATCCAAAAAAATCCATGTTCTGGACCACTGACAGCAATTCGTCACACTCTAGCTTCCAACTTGCTCAACACGTAAAACAAGTGCTACCGAAGGAGCTGCAGGGACACAACCTCCGAGGGGCACACTGTTTGTGGTTACTCACAAGGAAGCAACCTCACTGCCAGTTCTATCTTGTCTTCTCATCATTGTGACTCAGTCCCTGCTGTCCCCATCTCCTCAAAGTGTGTGGTTTGGTGCTGGTCTGGGAAAGCTTTACCGAGGTCCTAACTGCCTAGCTTGCTCAGTATTACCTTCTCCGAAACCTAACCCTGGGTATGTGCCATAAAAAGAAAGCAAAACGAAACCTGCGTCTAATCTTAACTATCTCAGATAATTCTGTTTGGATTTACCACAGAATTAAGTCAAAGAGTATAAGACTGGTCTATAGTACAAGTCATAGTAAAAACCTTAAAACTGATAGAATGTTTATGTATTTCACACAAATAAATAAAAAAAATTTTCTATAATCCAAAAGAAATATTCTCTAACGCCACACTTAAAGGAGACATTTTGAAATTCATAGTACTTTCAAATCAAGGGCCATACACTTGAAGAGAATTCATAATTAATACAGAAGTGTTCCTTGTTGCTCCTTTTGAATAGCATCAGAAGGCACCATTAAAATAGAATGATTATTATTTCTATAATATGTTTTCTTATTAAGAGTAGATAGAAAAAATGATGATGAACTGGCATCTATACTTCTAAGTTCTCTTCTGTTGTAAATCCATATTACTGTTCCAAGGGCAGCTTACCATAGGAAGAAAGACAACCTCAAAGGTTATGCCAAGGATCCGACATAAAGAAATAAACTCTTCAGTCAACAATGTGTCTATAGCAATTTGAAAAAATGTAAAGCCAGGAAGAGCCTACATCTGAGAAGACATCCTTCTCTCTGTTCATATGAGCAAAAGTGATTCTGAATCATGGTTGTCCTTGTTTATGTATGTATCCATCTAGTAGCACTGTCCAACCAGGTGGCCACTAAACACATGGAACTACTTAAAATAAGTTAATTAAAATTAAGTAAAATTTAAAATTGACTTCCCCAGTCCCACTAGCCAAATGCTCAATAACCGCATGCAGTCAGTGGCTACCTCACTGGGTTGCGCAGATACACCACGTTTACATCATTGCAGAAAGCTCTGGTAAGTAGCGCTGTGTGGATTAAAACAGTCTCTGAAAGGCTAGATTACAGATCTACGAACTGTCATTCACTCAGGTTTTTAAGAGATGTAAAATTTGACAGATAATACAGTGAGTGGTCTGCCCTGACCAGTTTGGCTTGGTGGATAGAGTGTCAGCCTGCGGACTGAAGGGTCCCAGGTTCGATTCTGGTCAAGGGCATGTACCTTGGTTGTGGGCATATCCCCAGGGGGAGGGGGAGGTTGCAGGAGGCAGCTGATCGATGTTTCTCTCTCATCGATGTTTCTAACTCTCTATCCCTCTCTCTTTCTCTCTGTAAAAAAATCAATAAAATATATATTTTTTAAAAAATACAGTACGTGGTCTTTTTAGGTAGAGTAACCACATTTTTTTATCTGGGAGCCTTCAGTCGCAGGCTGGCACTCTATCTACTCAGCCAAACTGGCTAGGGCAAGGGTAACCACATCTTGGCTTTTCTACAATTCTAGTATAGTTTGTATTTGTATTACTTGCAATAACATGACTCATTAAAGGTAAAAGTAAATGGTACAAATTAAGTTATTTTAGTAGGACTTTTTATATAAATAAATAGACAGAACCCTTTGTCATACCCTAGTCCCAAATGTTGATGCAAGAAAACAAACAAAAACAACCCATTTATATGGTGAGGGTAGCCAAGAAACTGCTCCTGAAAGACCTCTCCTTTCTCTAAGTAACTCTAGGTACCCCCATGCCTGTGTTGTCACTCACCGGAAGCTTGGGAAGCTTGGTGCGTCTGAGCTGGGCAGAGAGGCGGAGCCGCCTCCCTGCTGACACCTGCAGGGAAGAAAGTAAACTCTCTGCACCACCACTGGGACTCCAACTCCTGACCACGTGGCAGCTCCTTGGCTTTCTACTGTGTCCAGGAGCGAGTCGCTCAGGGGCGCTTGAGATGAGCAGTGCCTGTGGGTCCAGTCTGTCCTCAGCGTGGGGAGACTGCACAGAACCTGGCCAAGACACGCAAGGGAAGATTTCATTCTGACTCATGAGGGCACACACTAACAAATAATGATATTCTTAGGTAATCCCATGATGTAAATGGAGAACACTAAAGGAAAAATGCCCAAGGTTACCTAGAAGAAAGTGGCCCAGGCAGGACTGAACCAGAACACCTGGCTCCAAAGTCCATACTCCTAACCACTAGGCTATACTGCAGCTTCATTATCGCTGTTGCTGAAAACATACTTCATGAAGTTGAAGCAGTAATAATACACTTTGAGCCATATTTTAAATTGATTAGAGAGTTCTCTTTTTCACATAATTCCCTCCAAACACTCATTTTTTAAAAAGTTTATCACCTATATTTTTTAAAAAATTGATTTTAGATAGAGGAAGAGAGAAAGAGAAAGATATTAAGAAACATCAATTAGTTGCCTCCTGCATGTGCCCTCACCAGAATTGAACCTGCTACCTTTTGGTGTATGGGAGGATGCTCCAACCAAGCCAAGTCTCCGGAGACTCTGCTTGATTGCACTTATACAAAACAGGGTGAAAATCTGTCTGCTTTTCTATCTTTCTTATATTCCCTCATGCTGTCTGTCACTCCCAGCATTCCATTCAGTGCTGAATCAAGTAACATGGTGACCTGAGGCAGGTGCACTGGAGAGCCACAGAGCTTGGAAGGGTCCCAGGAGTGTACTTCATGCCTACAGCAAGGGAAGACTGGTGGTTCCCTAAACTTATCTTGGCAGATGATCATGGCTCAGGGCCAATAAAATGCCAAAAACAATCTCCAGTTTATAATCTCAAGTTTATGCAGCTCTTTTAATCCTAAGTGATACAGATATTAAAATGTGTTTTAATAAGAAAAGAGGGCTTAAACAAAAATCTTAGGTAATTATAAAATGAGAACAGAAAAAAATCAACACTTATATCTATATATATAAAAGGCTAATAGTCAAAATGTCTCCTCAGGAGTTCGACCAAGAGACTGGGAGTTCGATCGCTCGTTATGACGTGTGCTGACCACCAGGGGGCGGTGCGGAACGAAGGAAGGCCCGGGCAGGCAGCAGGCAAAGGAAGGCCCCATCGGCCCTGATAGCTGGCCAGGCCTAGGGACGCTACCTGTGCACAAATTTCGTGCATTGGGCCTCTAGTATATTAATAAATTAGAATAAATATTAAAATTACATAAAATACTATAAAATGTTACAACTAAATACTGAACTGAACTATAATTTCTTTAGGCATAGCAATAATACAAGATGTTCTAGCATATATATTAGCTGAATATTTGAAGTAAGACCAAAACTAAACATCTTCCCTTATAATCCTTTCAAATATTATTACAAAGCATAAAACGTCCAAGCCCAAGAGAGTTACCTGGCTTTCAGGTGAATTATTTGTTAGACTCTTAAATCTAAACATCTGGGATAAGGTGATGTTTCTTCTTGGAAGGGGTGTGTCCCAAAAGTGCACTTCATGTGTTGTTCTTGAATCTTCTTTGGCAACAACTTTCTTACAGAAATAAGTATTCAGAATAACAGGGCAACTTTCATTTGGGATAATAAGCTTTTGCCTGGAAAGGGGAAAAAATACAACAGTTTATTTGCAAACCTGGATTCTCCTTATGTTCTTGCAAATCAGGAACACAAAGAATAATGACTTGCCTGCTTCTACAGATGAAAGCTAGCCCACTGAGTGACAGCTGCCCTCACATACTCAAGAATGACTGCCGATGGGTCTACTTTTCCTTTTCCTGTGAAAGTTCTATCAGGAGAGGGGTTAGTGCCTGGGCTTCTCTCAGATCCTCCTACTCTGGTAGAAGATGGCCTTAGGATTCCTCAGGGAGCAATGCAGGGAGTGAGCAAAGACTAGCAACAAGCTCAAAGAATTAGCCATTAAAATAAATGCTATTACTTTCTTAACCAAAGAACATACATGCAAATTTGAATAACCCAGGGACACAGACAATAGTGTGGTGAAGGCCTCGGGAGAGGGCAGGTATAATACTTTCAACAATAAAAATTTAAACATTAAAAATAAATAATAAATGCTATTTACAAATAACACCTTCTTACATTCTGACAGGTCTAATCTTTCAAATACTGTATTTTTCTGTGTATAAGATGCCCCCCCCTCCCCCACACACACACTTTTCCAACCCCAAATTAAGAAATCAGTACTTTTGCCCTAGTCAGTTTGGCTTAATGGATAGAGTGTTGGCCTGCGGACTGAAGGGTCCTGGGTTTGATTCCGGTCAAAGGCACATACCCAGGTTGTAGGTTCGATCCCCAGTAGGGGCCGTGCAGGAGGGAGCCAATCAATGATTCTCATCATTGATGCTTCTATCTCTCTCTCTCCCTCTCCCTTTCTCTCTGAAATCAATAAAAATATATTTAAAAAAAAGAAAATCAATAGTTTAAACATGTTGATTTTCCTCTTAAGGCCTTCTTCTTTTTGGCATCTTAAGGAGCTGTTCTTTCCGTTTTCTCCACTCTTCGATCATATACTCAGTGGGTGGAGGTCCAAATTGTCTCTCTGCAGCTCTATTTCCATGCTCTTTTGCATAGCTGATTTGTTTGAATTTTGCAGAGTAAGACAATCGCTTACTGGTATTCATCTTTTTATTTTTTAACATCTTTATGGGCTCAGAACGCCCCAAGTCCCTGTTGCATCTGCGCACTCTCCACCTCCACCTCCAATTACAGCATCAGCTGACATCAGTAATAAGGCTCGTGATTGGAGGAAGCCTGTTTGACAAGGTATGGGCAGCTAAGCACCCTCACAGCTCCCTCCTCCGCTGACTGCAGTCCAATGATTTTAGAAAAAAACACAGCGTCTTATACTGGAAAAATATGGTAACTCGACATCAAATATCAAAGGAATACACCCAAATGGACCACAGTCACAGACATGCCTCATATTTAAGTAGAGAAGTCTGGGAATATAAGAGACATTCTCCTGGTTCCTTTGAGACATCTGATTTGAGAAGACCCTAACACTTATGCCTCAAAACACAGTGCTGCTTAACATTCGGAAAGAATTATGACTTCCACTTCTGGGAAGATGGACTAGACATATGTCCTCCTATTTCTCTCATTAAGTACAACTAAGTGCCTGACATTAGACATAAATAAATATAAGAACACACTGAAAGGTGGAGAGAAGGAGGACAACAGATTCCTGGGCTTTCTTTTTGCCTCTTATATTCCAGACTTGGAACGGAGGAACCTGAAAATCTGGAAACAGTAATGGGTACAGATAGGAAAAGCCTCCACAGAAGCTTAATCTCTTCAATCAAAGGACTAGGGACGGAGCAGCCTAGTGAAACAGAAAGCTTCCAGAAAACAACTGCTCTCCTCTAGGCAAACATCACAGAAAAACTGTTACCCACCTTCACGCACACCAGCAAAGAGTCAGGGGAACCCAGACTTCCACCCTCATCAGCTTGTAATAGGGGTCTCCATACCAGTGGTCGGCAAACTCATTAGTCAACAGAGCCAATACGACGATTGAAATTTCTTTTGAGAGCCAAATTTTTTAAATTTAAACTATATAGGTAGGTACATTGCTATTTACTTAATTAGGGTACTCCTAAGGCTTAGGAAGAGCCACACTCAAGGGGCCAAAGAACCGCATGTGGCTCGAGAGCCTCAGTTTGCCGACCACAGCATAGCCAGTGGTGGTGGTGTGAGAAGGCGGGATAGGGGCTTTCATCCCTGCAGGCTTGTAAAGAGTTTCCCCACATACACAGTATACTAGTAACAGTGGAGCCCACCTGGACTTCCACCCACACCTGACATTAGTATTCAAACATCCCTCCTCACCCCTCTGGCACAGAGTCAAACAGGCCTGGCAGAATGTCAGGACTTCAACCACTGCCTAGCATTACTGAGGCCACCTTCCACCCTCCAACCTTTTCCAGTGTTATCAGTGGAAGCCAGGTGGGAGCAATAACAAAGCTCCCTCTCAGGCAGGTTGATGCCAGTGGAAGCCTAGCAGGAAGATGGAACTCATATCTGCCCAGCAGTAACTAGGAGTCCTTTCCCCTTCAGGTACCAATGGAGGTCAAGTGGGAATCTGAACTTTGACTTTCTTCTAGCAGTAATAAGCAGCACCCGCTTCTTGTCTCAGAGCAGTACCAGACAAAGCCACATACATAGATTTAAATAAGGTCCACATGTCAAATACCCCAAATGGACAGGTTGCCATAAAAAGTCACTTGTTATACTAAAACAAGGGGGGAAAAATATCACCTTGAATAAAAAAAGGCAATTACTAAATGATAATGCTGATATGAAACAGATGTTAGAATTATCTGACAGAGATGTTAAGGCAGTCATAAGCATGTTTCAATGAACAATTATAAATGCAAACAAGACAAAAATAGAAAGTTTCAGCAAACAAATATACAGTCTTGGCAAAGAAATATTTTTAATGAAATTTCAAAACTAAGAAATACAATAATTAAAAAACTCAATAAATGGGTTCAACAGCAGAATGGAGGGACCAGAGAGAAGAATAAGTAAACTTGAAGATAAAGTAATAGACTTTAACCAATATGAACAACAAAGAAAACACAGACTGAAAAAACAATGAGCAGAACCTCCAGATCTGTGCAAAGAAATACAAGTGGGAAAATATACATAAGTATAATAGGCTTTTCTACTCCTGTTGTTTTTGAAAATTTATTTGGATTTGAAGCAAAATCATAACACTGTCTGATATGGTTCTAAATATATGCACAGGAAATACTAAGACAATGATAATATAAATGAGGACAATATAGGGATATAAGAAATAAGATTTCTACACGTTGCACAGAATGGCAAATTGTTGACCCAGTAGACTGTGATAAGTATATATATAATGTAATGACTAGACTCGCAGTGAAGGCGAACCTTTTGAGCTCGGCGTGTCAGCATTTTGAAAAACCCTAACTTAACTCTGGTGCTGTGTCACATATAGAAATTTTTTGATATTTGCAACCATAGTAAAACAAAGATGTATATTTTTGATATTTATTTTATATATTTAAATGCCATTTAACAAAGGAAAATCAACCAAAAAAATGAGTTCGTGTGTCACCTCTGACACGCGTGTCATAGGTTCGCCATCACTGGTCATTAGAGCAACCAATAAAATAGCTATAAAAAGAGATATGTACAAAAACATAAAAAAATTAAGACAAAATTCTAAATAATGTTTAAGTAGCCCACATGAAGCCAGGAAAAGGAAAGCAGAGAAAGGAACAAACAGAGAGAGAATAAGACAGAGAAAACAAAAAATAAAAAGGTAGATTTAGTCCTAATATAGCAATAATTGCATTAACTGTATATGGTTTAATTGAACCAATTAAAATATATATTATCAGCCCTGGTTGGGTAGCTTAGTTGATTAGAGTGTCATTCTGATACACCAAGGTTACAGGTTCAATCCCCGTTCATGGCACATACAAGAATCAACCAATGAATGCATAAATAGGTGGGACCACAAATCGAAGTTTCTCTCTCTCTCTCTCTCTCTCTCTCTAAAAAAAAAAAAAAGTTATAATAGGATGAAACTAAAAGGATGGAAAAAATATATCATTTAACACTAATACAAATATAGTGCAAAGGAATACTATTACCACATGAAGCAGGCTTAAGAGCACAAAGAATTATCAGAGACAGAGAGGGATATTAAATAATGATGAAAGGGTCAGTCCACCAAGAAGACATAGCAATCTTAAATGTGTGTGCACCAAACACCACAGATTCAGAATACATGAAGCAAAAACTAATGAAACTAGAAGGAAAAATCAGCAAACCCTAATTAAAGTGGGAGACTAGAACACCCCTTTCTCATTATTTAATAGAACAACTAAATAGAATATCAGCAGGTTACAACTGCTCACATAGAAAATTCAAGTAATCAATAAAATAATTCCTAAAACTAATAAGTGAGTTCAGCAAGATCATAGCATAACACAAAACTAATTTGTATTTCTATATACTATCAATGAACATGTGGACACCAAAACTAAAAATCTAAATAATTTATAATCGCAAAAAACCAAAAAACTTTTGATATAAATCTAACACAACATGCACATGACTTGTATTCTGAAACTAAAAAACATTGATGAAATAACTCAAAGATTTTAACAAATGAAGAGAACTAAAATTGTCATTATTTGCACATGACATAATACTATATATAGAGAATCTAAAAATTTCACCCAAACACTATTAGAACTGATAAATGAATTTGGTAAAGCAGCAGGATACAAAATTAATATGCAGAAATCAGTTGCATTTTTATACACCAATAACAAACTATCAGAAAGAGAAAATAAGAAAACAATCCCATTTACAATTGCATAAAAAAAAAAACTAACCTAGGAATAAACTTGAACAAGGAGGTAAAAGACAAGTACTCAGAAAAGTATAAGACATTGAAGAAACAAACTAAAGAGATACAAATAAATGGAAGTACCACAGATAGAAAGAATGAACATCATTAACATTTCCAAACAATCCAACACAATCTATAGATTCAATGCAATCCCTATCAAAATACAAATGGCATTGTTTA